GATATTCTGCAGAAAACCCAGCCTGTGTTTGGTACCAAAACATTGCAATTGTCCATACAATATTCTTGTAAAAAAAACATGAAATCATTTCTGCTATTCTGATATATGACCAACGTCCATGAACAAGTAAAAGTTTTTCCAAATACCTAAATTGTGCAAATGCAAAATCTGCTGACATTGCTGCTTGACGCCCCTCCTCACCAGCAATACCAATTCCGACATTTGCTTCTTGTATCATACTTACATCATTAGCTCCATCTCCAATTGACAATGTCATCACATTTAATCCTTCTTTCACCATAGAAACTACTTGTGCTTTTTGCAATGGACTTACACGACAACAAAGAACACTCTCACATCTTTTACCAAGGTCTAACAAGTATGGTTTTACACTATCGTCTAACCCATACTTGAGTGTTTCGCCATCTATAATCAGTGCATGCTTATTTTTCTTTTCATTCTGATTTTCAAAAAATTTTTTGATTGCTTCATTTATCTGGGTAAGAGCACTTTGTTTATCTGATGCATTTATGACAATTAAAAGCATATCATTTTGTAACAGATTACATGAAAAGCCAATATTGATAGCTGTCTCCACTTTATCACCTGTCAATACCCATAATTTAATACCAGCTTGTGCCAATGTGGCTATAGTTTCTGGAACACCTTCCTGAAGTCGATCTTCTATTGCAGTTCCTCCCATCAATATCAATGAATGCTCAATCATCTCACATGCCTCTTCTATCTTTTCTTCTCTATTATTAATACTGGATGCTGCTTCTGCATATTTTGCTGACCATACATTATACTCTTCTTCTGGTATAGTACGATACGCTATACAAAGTGTTCTAAGTCCTTTGATTTTTTTTTTTGTTATTTAAAAAAATCAAGTATCATTAATATTTAAAAATATAAGTACACATATATTATATATATATAAAATATATAAATACATATATAAATAAATACCTTCTTTAGCAAAAAGTTCAAGATCTTCCAAAGTTTCTTCTCTTAGTTCTAATTGAGATCCTTTTTCTAAACGTTCATATATTACACTATCAGCGCCCTTACACAACAAAACTATTCCTCCTTCAGGTGAACGTAGAACAATTGACATTCTTTTTCTAGTACTATTAAATTCCAAGACATTTAATAATGTAAACTCTTTACGTTGACCCATTACTTCAATTATTAAAGTATCCTGACACCGTTCAAGAAACGCAAATCCAACATCTCTTGCACAACCAACCAAGGCAGCCTCATCTGGTGATTGAGCTTTATAATCGATTTCATAAAGGTCATTTTCATTAGGATGTTCAATTAGTACAGTATGACACAACGCTAATGCAGAAAAGAAATCTTGGATAGCTTTTGATTGTTGATCCATAACTTTTAAATCTTTGTATAATTTTGAATCAACAAATGTAAGATTTCGAGAGATGTATTTATTTTCAAATAAATTTGACATTTCTTCTAGCATTAATCTTTTCTCTGCTTCCAAATCAACATCATCATCAACGTTACCATCACCTTTTATTTCTTCGCCATTATCAAGTCGTTCTTGTAATTTTGCACCACGCATAGCATCTGTTTCACCTAAACCATATGCGATGCCATTGATTGTACATTTACGAAATTCCATAACATTTTGCGTCAAAGTACCAGTTTTATCAGAAAAAATGTATTCAATTTGACCTAGATCATCAGAAATATTCCATGTTTTTGGAACACATGGATAATCAAGTTTTTCATAATACATTTCAACATCTGAATGAATAAAATATGCCTTTCAAATAAAAAAAAATATATGTGTTGTTATTGAATAAACAATATGCAAATGAATAAATGAACAAATCATAAATAATTTTAATTTTATAATAAATTTACCTGTATAGTTTTAACTATTTCAATTGTAATATATAATGAAATTGGTACAATATTTTGAAATAAAACCATACTTGTCCTAAAAAATTAATGATTAAATTAATCAAAATTAAGTGTAATTCTTCTTGCTCAACATTATTTAGTTATTAATTTTTTTCATACCAAAATATTAAAAAACCACTAAATAATGCACCACCACCAATGTCTCCTTCGTAACCAAAAACGTCCGCAGAGCTTCGAGGTTGAATATAATAAACTGTTTGAGCTACACCAGAACCCAAACAAAGTAAGAACAGTATAACAAAATTCATAGTAACCTAAAAAAATAAAAAAAATTAAAAATAAATTTTTGATTTTCCTGATATCCCAATGCTCCTTGATTTTTCTACAAACTATCTCTTAAAAAAAAACATACATGAAAATTTGTTTCTATTTCTATACGACTCCTTTTACTTGGTGTATTACCAGAATTCAACATGATTTTAGTGTCAGTGCCAGTAAATACTACTAATCCTATGACCCATTCAGTATTACGTAGAATACATCCTCTCAATAGAATATCATTGATAGATATTGGTTCAATTTTTTCGTTGGAATGGTCCGCACCATCTCTATTAGTTCCAACCCAATGTAAAGCGCCATTATATGAATATAAATTTGCATGTGCTGGTTCCGAATCAACATAAAAAAAAGCTTGTTCATAATCACTCTCCGTCATTAAAGATGACGTGGCATTGTTGCAATGACGAATTTTAAGATTTGTTTCACCATCAAGATTTTTTGTTTCTACGTAACAAAGACCATCAGGTTCACTTGTAGATAAAATTATTATATCAGCAGGAACAGGGTCATTATTTCTCAATTGTATAATATCGCCAACTCTAACATCTTGCCAACGACTATCTATCCATTTTGCACTTTGAGATGGTCGCATAGTAGGCAAAGGAACTTCTTCCATTTGCTTTGAATAACTTTTATTCTTATCATTGTTACTTTCTTGGCCTATCTGGTTGTTATTTTTCTGTGAACCAAAAAAGCCATTTAATATACCACGTAAAAATTTAAACCGTTTACCATCACCTGTAGATATATTAACATTACGGTTGGATAATCTAATTGTTTTTGATTTGTTAAGTGTGTTATCTTGGGTGTGACGTTTCCAATCTTCAATAGCATCTTTAATTGCAGTCATAGTTATGATAGAGAGTAGTGGAGCGGCAAAGATAATAGGAGAACTACCATTGCCGATAAGCGGGAAAAGTTGTAAAATGAATATAAAAAGGAAATACATGTTTGCCACTCTACGAAATTGTTCAAATATATTTTTCGGTATAAAGGTTAAAAGGGTATATTTTGAGGTACGTATTTTGTTTCCTACAAAAGATGTTTTAGGTTCACCATATTGATCAAGTTCTTCCGTTGGTAATGGTATGTTGACATATATTCGACGTTTTTGTGGTTGTTGTAAATCTGAAGAACTTGATAATCGTTTTTGATGACCTGTTTTAATTCCATTTTCGGCTTCTTTATCAAATGGCATATTTGATATTTTATTTTATTTCTTTCTTTGGTCAAAAGAAAAAAATAAAGTAATTTTTTGAATGAGACTCAATCAATGAGTTTTTTTTTGGTAAATTTTGGAAAAGAAAGTTTGATTATTATAATTATTATTATTATTATTAATAATAATAAATTTTTTTTAAAAAAAAAAGAAATAAAGAAAGTTAAAAGTTGTAAAAAAAAAAATTTTAATTGATTATTTTAAATGCATGTTTTTTCGGCCTATTTATTTTTTAATTTATATGAGGCCAATTTTCGTCGCAACATAAATTTGTACTACAAAAATTGGTACATGCATACATACGTGTTATTACTTGCTACCACAGTCACTACAGTTCCAAATTTGTAAGTTTCTAAATGCTGTATGTGGAAAATGATTGGATAAACTTTATCTTTTCATTAAAAAAAAATTTTAATGAAGCAAGAGCTTTATTAATATTTTACAAGTACATCGAATTCAAGCTTTTTATATTAATTAGTAGCACTTTCGTTACGATTTAGCACTCTGATTATTATTCTGCTCTTTCGTTACGATATTGCACTTTAATTGCTATTTGGCAGTCTAATAACTTTTCGTGTAATTGTGATTGAGCAATTTAATTCCGAAATAGTCTTTTAAATGCGATTATAGCCTTGAATGCGATGTCACGAATTCCACTAAATAAAGTTAAATATTAACTTATTACGACATTATACGAAATAAATAAATAAATAAAAAAATAAAAAAATATATGAAATGTACTTAATTATTTAATTATTTAATTATTTGTATTACACATGCAAACTTGATAGTCGGTCATTTATTTATATTTATCAGGTACTTTCTTTAAACAATTGATTGCTGCACCCGACTTATCGACTTTACATGTAATATAATGATTATACAATAATGAGATAATATACAAGGTTTGAAATATCCATATCAAAAACATGTGTAACATGTTTTGCAAAGGTCGTCGTCACTCAAAAAATTTAAGAAATCCTCCAAATAAATAAAACAAAAAGTATTTTGGCAAATGAATTCTAATTCCGGAACAATAATAAAAATAAATAAATAGCTCTAATATAGTTGAAACTATAAAAAAGTTAAATAAAAGTTATTGGTTGATTCTTAAAGATAATGGATGGACATGAATGAATTGTCGAGAAAATAGATTTATTTAAATCTTGTAAAAGCACACTTTGAGTAAATTAATGTAATACTCTGCAACGAGATTCCCCCTTTCCCAAAATCATTATGCATACGTATTTGATCACATACAGATTGGCAACAATGACTGGAAATCACTGAAATGACTGTTGAAGAACTTTATTATAGCACAAGGGCATAATCAATGATGCACCCTTGGCATTTGACATTAGTATAATTATTCATAATTTATAATTAACTAGCATATTTATTTTATTGGCCAAAAATCCACATTATTTGTAAATACTCCAAAAAGTATTTAAACACTTGGAAGTTAAAGAAATATATATAATGGTCATGTAAAGTAAAATAAATACATTTTATTTTATTGCGAATTATTTCATAGTTGAGGAGGCAGAACCGTTTTGTAATCCCTTTTAATGATTAACGGTTTAATTATTTATCCTTTTAATTTTACTATGTTGCTTGCAGGGATGCCTCAATGAAGTGTCCCTACATCATATTAATATTAATATTAATATGATTTTACAAACATAGTCGATCATATGTATATGGCAGACAAAAGTAATACTAATACTAAGAATACTAAGGAAAATCGCAATTGTACTACTATGATTGCATTTATTATACATTTATTTGGAAACCAACAATTGCAGAGCTTTAGTAAAAAGCCACATTTATTTGCTTTAATGGGCAAGCAAGCAACGTTAGGGCTGACATTGGTTAACTAGTGGGTGCTAATGAAGTATCGTCCAAAGGTTAATCAGAAATACTGGTAGTATTATTGTAGCCGTAAATTTAAGGCTGTCAACAAGCTGCTTAAGAAAACCAAAGCGAGTTTGCCATCGGCCAATAAATGTAAACGACTGAAATAAATCAATCACAAGTGAATAAAAGGAACTTTATGGAAGCCCTTGAGACTTGTAAATGGGCATATTTATTTATTTACGGTTATCTAGTACCCATTAAACGTGCTCGCAGATTCGTCTAGGTGCAAGAAAGAAGGAACCAAAGTAAAGTTATAAACTAATTAATTGACAAGCACCGAATTATTTGCAATTAACTGATAAGAGTAGCCTAAAAGTTAAGCCATAATTGTTAATTAACCAAGATGATACCTCACAATATCAACCATTTAACAAGAATCAAAAAAATGTAAAAAGTTTATTATTTCAAAACATTGTTATAATTTAACTTTGAGAAATAAAATAAGGATAAAATAAAAAGATAAATAAAAAGATAATAATAAATTTATAGTGAAAGTTAAATTAGTTCATCAATTCTTTCTTTTACCATTGCTACTAGAATCTAATGTTAATTAATTAATTAATTAATTAATATTGTTAGTAATAATTAATGGATAGTAATTTCCAATTAATTAATAATGAAATTTTTATCATCTTTGTTGACATTTAGAGAAAAGAGTTACAATCAAGATTATTTAACAAACTATTACTAGTATAACTTTTTAGATTTAGCAATTTCGTCATCTAATATTCTACTTGTATGATATGCATCTGGATGTGATTTGTGTGCTTGTTGCAAAGCACTAATATTATTATTACTATTATTATTATTATTTTTAATAATTTCTTCATGCTTATTTCTAGCAAAATCACAAAGCTCTCTACTAGTTGGTCTTTGTGATGTATCCACATTCCAACACCTCTCCATCATTTGTGCATAATCTTCAGGCATCACGGGTAGTATTGGTGGTCGTAAACCTTCACATATATCAAAATTTAAACAATAATTGTGAGCTCTATCATCAAATGGTGGATGACCTGCAAATATTTCCCACATTAACATCCCAACACTATAGATATCAGTTTTCTTGGTATTAATTTTGCTTCTAAGTAGCTCGGGTGCAATATATGATACAATTCCATAGACTTTATCTGATGACTTTTCATTAACTAGTCCACATAGTCCCAAATCTGTAATATAACAACCACCTCCTGCCATAAGTATATTACCACTATGTAAATCACAATGGATTAAATCTTTTTCATGTATATCACCTAATGCATGGCATAAATAATAAAAGATTGTGATTCTGTTTTTTAATGTTAAATTTAAATGATTTTTTTGTAAATAACCTCTTAAATTTCCCTCTGATAAATAATTTTAAAAAACTGCATAATTTCCATTATCTGGGAATTTAGTTATACCATAACACTGAACAATTGATGGTGATTTAATTTTACAATAATTCATTGCCTGTAATTAAATATAAAACCAATTAGTATTATATAATATAGTATTGTTTATTTTTGTTTTAAATGACAGCTACCAACCTCACCAAGAAAACCTTTTCCTGAATTATTTGAATCATTTAAACTTTTTAATACCACATTTTGCCTTCCAAGATAACTAAATTCTTTTTTATTTTTGTTGTAATCGTCTATTTGTCCTCTTGTACATGTAGCAGTATAAATTGAACTAAATTCACCTTCAGTTAACTTTGTTACATCATCAAATTGCTCAAAAGGTATCCATTCTAAAATATAGTCTGGCAAAGATGATTTCATTTGACATTGTTGAATAAAACCATCAATTATGTTATTTCCAGATGTCCAAGTGGTGAAAAGACTCTGTAATTGTAAACTAATGCAACCTTCACAGAATCTATCAGAGTAACTTGTCAATTTACACTTGCTACATTCTTTTGGTTTTCTCTTGCATTTCTTAATTCAATATCATAATTAATCTTTTCTTTACAAAATTCCTTTTCATTTTCAGAAAGCTCCTTGTTTATTTTGACTAATGAAAAATAATAATATTTTCTACTTTCTTCATCAGAATTAACGTTGGCATCATTAATTATTTCACTACAAATTTTCAACACAAATTTCCTTCTTTCTGGTGACAACAATGATAATAATTTAGCATGTGACATTATATAAAATATAAAATTCAACTTGGTATTTTTGTGGAGGTTTTTTGAGAATAACGGTTACATTATTTCCCCTTTTAACATAAGAAAGGGTTTGCTGTGTTACGGTTCCTTTCTAGTAATAATTTTTTTTAACCCAAAATTGAAATTTAGTTGCACAAGAAATATTCTGTTGTAAAACTTGAAATGGTAAATCCAGTGCAGTTACGGTTAGTGTTGGTTTCCAAAATTATAGAGTTTCGCAACCGTGCGAAAGTCAAAGGTTTCGCCATAAGTTGAAACTAGTTTTGATTTTTGACTATTGATTTTTGATTTAGTTTTGACATATAACTTTTAATTTTAGTTTTGACTTTCACCTCTTCAAAATGGTTTTGGCAACCAACACCAGTCACGGTAATGAATCACGAATCTCCTAAGCATTTTGTTGCTCAAATTTAGTAAACTGAATTGTTGGGAAGCATGAGATCAAAATCAAAGGGCAATGGGTTGTTTTTTCTTTTCCCAAAATGATAAATGTTTGTGTTTATTTTTACATTGTTGTATCATGTGAGTTCCCATTGCTATCCATTTGGCAACTGAAAATTTATCTATTTTTGTTCAAAACGTTAGGGTTGAGCAAAGCAGATACTTGACCGAAAGGAAATCGTGTTTCGTTTTAGATGTTTTTGCATGATGTTTACCGTTAGGTTTTCATCTTGCTCTGACGTTCAAAATGACCAAACACTTATGGCCTTGCCTTAGAGCCTTTACCTTGAATCATCATACAACGTGTTAGTGTTAGTATATTTTCAGTTCAACACTTTTTACATTTTATTTGTTGTTGTTATTATCTGTAAGGACAAATTGATTTTATGAAATAGTTTTAATTATAATCATGTATTTTTCCGCAAAAATATCCGCAAGTTCATCGCCCATAATATTATCCAGAGAATTTGCAGCAGATGTGTATTTTTTTTATTTTTTATTTTAGTTTTCAGAAACTTTATACTAATAGCATCATTAACATTAACATTGGATATTTGCAATTATGCAATTCATGAAAATATTATAATATTGATTCTCCAATAAAAAATTTTTTTGCATGATATCATAAAAACGAAATTTACGATATCATTTTGTGATGTCATCATTTTTTATATATAAAAAATTAGTTTATTTTTTACTAAAGAAAATTAGTCAAACCGAAAATCAAAAATAATCATATAAATATTATAAACAAAAAAAAAATTTTTTTTACATGTCAATATAAATATATAGTTATACGAAAAGTTATTCAATATAAACAAAAAAAAATTTTTTTACAAAAAAAATTTTTTACATATCAATATATAAATATATAAAAAGTTATATGAAAATGCCAAGTCAACTTACAACTAACTATCTTACTAATTGAAAACTGTGTTCAAAACTTTACAACAAAATTTAAAATAACTACAGGAAATGCAACTAACAAATAAATAAACAACAAAGTCTCTCAATGAATTGAATGTTGAAAAATTCAATAAAGAATTGGTTAAATTGGTAATGTATGATTGTGTTTCCTGCAAAAGTTAATTCATTTAATTGATAATAATTATTCTTTAAACATTCAGGGTGAGTTGTTGGAGAAATGAACAGGGTGTCAAAGTGCTTCTATTTTTTAAGGAACTTGGCAAAAAAATTGATTTGAAAAGATTTGTATATGATTTTCCACCCATGTCATTCGTACTGGACCTACATGATCCAAAATGGTAAACTTTATAAAATTCATCAAGAACACTTTGGGTCTGATCTAGAAATAATAGAGAAATTTGAAGAAATCTTCCATGCAAATAACAAATTGAGTGAATACATTAAAGAAAGTATCAACAGTGATTTTTTGATCCGTATCCCTGATAATTGTAGAAATTTGGATAAATGTTATTTTGAAATTGCTGAAAAAATAGTAGAAAACTTGTAGGTTAATTCAATAATATTTTGTGTCTTTTATTGGAATCAAATGCTTACTGCATCATTCTATTTATTAGGCAAATATTAAACAAAAATCAGAAACTGCAAAATAAAGAAACTATGATCCATCTGTTGATGAAGGAATGTGGACCAAATTGACAATTGATGCCTTTATTTATTCAATGTTGAAGTTTTTTGATAGCAACTTAGATGTTTGTTGGTATGTTCAACTTTTTTAAAAAATTATGATTCTCTCCTTATTTAATAAATAGTATGATATTCATATAGGGGTGATAAAATTTGCTGATCAATTTTTGTGCAAAGGTTGTTTTAAAATTGTGCATATATGCACAACAAATTTAATTTTTTGATTTTTTTTGTGCATTATATATAGAAAAATGGAATAGTGCAAAAATTTCTCATTGAATTTGTGCACTATATTTGAAATTTTTGTAGAGAGCCTGCACAAAATTTTTGTCACATTGTGCACAGTTTAAGGGGGGTTGAGCAACTGTGCACACGAATTTTATACACTGTATAGGGGTGATAGTGCAAACCAAACAACAAAAGGAGCTGATGTTATGATACTGAGGTGATAAAATCTTATACTAAAAATAGCACCATAACACCAACATTCAATTATGGAAAAAAGCCAGACATCTCAGTATATTGGAGCAATGAACATTTCCATACAACTGTTTGTTTGATGGAAGCCAGTTCTAGACCTTTTGCAGCTCCTGATATGTTAAAAAAGGAAGGAGATTGGTGAAAACTAATAAGAAGTATTAAAGGATCTTCAGAAAGATTATGGAGTGACTTTATACAAAAATCTAATAAATATATTCACGGATACCATGAGGAAGTCACACAGGGTCACACACTATTAAAATCAAGTGTTTTAAAGGGATTTTTTACTGTTTTAATAATGTGTAACCCCTTTAATGGTATTCATGGTATCCATGAATACAAACCCTACCAGTTGCATGAAATAAAAAACATGTTAAAACCCTTTAATACATTTACATGGTATGGATTTTTTACTAATAATTTATAAAAAATCAAGGATTTATTTACTAATTAATTATTATTTATATTAGATACAAACATTTGCATTTTGTATTATGATGAATCATTTTTCCCAACAAAGAATAAGAATATATTGGGAAATGCAAATCCCATATAACACATTGGAATTTCATCAGATAAAAGAATTTATTTGCCTGATCCTTGGAGTTTATAAGGTAATCCAAAAAAAGCAATAAGTCCTTTAAATCATTGATGAAATCAATCAATGAAAATAAGACAAATGGAAAAAGGCTTGAACCAATTTCATTACTGTATTCCAACTATCCTTCTAGGAGGTTGTCATTTAAAAGCTTAAGTCTGAAAAAGGTACACATGTAATAAATGTAAAACTAAGTCTTATTTATTATACTTATTAACCTTATGTTAACAGTATATTTTTCACATTTTATAGATTAATTGCTGAAATTTAGCTAGGGATGATAATAATAAATTTAATTTATTTAGGATTTTATTATTATTAATTACCCTTTTTTTTTTCTTAATTATGATTTTTATTTTTTATTTTTATTTTTAAGAATTTTTTTACAATAAGATTTTTTATTGATTTTTTTTATAAAAACACTTGATTTTAATGGTGTGACCTCCTTATGGTATCTGTGAATACTAGGTATTTCCACACTCATATATAATTAATAAATAATTTTACATTATCTTTTGTTTCTATTACTTTGACTCCTTTCTACATTACCTTTACAACATCCATATTATAATATTCAATTTCCTAACATTTGCAGCATGGTGGACATTTGAATGTTGCACCAATTTTTTATGCCATGTAATGTAATTTTTAAAGTAAAAAAACTGTGCACTCAATTAAAATGGGTATATGTTGATATGTAACACATACTGTAACTTTACAGAGATATTCTTTAATGTTTTTTTAACTTAATTCCAGCTGCATCCATCAGCATCCACAATTTTGACATACTTTACTTAGTACTAACATTTCCAATATGGTATTATGCAGCAGATGTGTAGTTTGCAACAAAATTAGAGTAAACTCAAAGTATAGAAAAATTACAGAATCAAGTAAAAATAAAGCAGAAGCTGGGGGATATAATAATTTAAGTGTTAATGATTTAATTTGTAATATATGTTATAATAGATGTATCAATGATTCTCATATTAAACCTAATAAAAACCTAATGCAGTCAGGGATATTTCCATATTGGGATTCGATTCCAGCATAGTCTGCTGATCAATTCATTATATGTTACAAATGAATTCACAAGATACTTCTTGTTATTATTATATCTAATGTTACATTTTCTAAAAATAAATCAGCTTATAATAATTGAAAGAAATACTATTAAACTTGCTCTTTCATAATCTGTTAATAATCTGTAATAATCTGTTGATTTGTTCAAAGTACATTTTTACTAAAAATTAGAAATTTAATTTTTATTGGTTTTTAGACCATTATGTTTGTATTGTTTGTATGAGATATTGCAAACAAATATCCAGAAAGCCAGCTGGCGCCATGTTGGTGCAAATCTTATTATTAAGTATATTCAGAATCACCACTACTATATTTATTCATGTAATTTAATTTGTTAATAACAATATATTTTTATCTAGGCTTTATTATTTTTTTTTTAAAGATACTAACTGCAACTTTGATGATGGTTGTAACCACCTTTACATCATATAAAAATGATTGCAACACCTAGGTGTAATTGCCTTGCAACAACTTTGTTGCATTGCAGCATGGAGCACTAAAGTAGCTCGGTATGTAATGTAAGCATAAAACTCCAAATAAATTATTTACAATAGTGGCTATTGATTCTAGAATTATTATAATCATTATTTATTTTTTTACTATATGGATTTTGTATGTATACTTTATTTATTATTTAACAGAATTGTCAAGGAAATTTATTTTAAATTCTATTTTTAAAGATTAAATGAAGTATTTTGTTCTGATGAATGGCAGCTTAATAAATTATTTAATAACAAATAAAAATCATTATTAATATAATAATATGTTATATATTAGTTAAATAGCATCTCTGACATTGCTTGATCTTGGGTAAGCTTGTAGAAAAGTTAAAAATGCCCATATTATATAATTTGGAAATTATATGACCAATTAATAAAGTTCACGCCATGTTTTTCTTGTTTTTCTTTTCCTAAAGATTATTATTTTTTATTCAATGAGAAGATTGCACAGAATTTAGCCAATTAGAATTTCTTTTCATGACGTCGATGATTACAGGGTATTATCCCTGATTGAATTTAGCCAACCAGAATTTCTTCTATATAGAATTTTTCATACAATCGATCATTACGGTATTTAGTATTTCCATCTATGGAAATATCCCTGACTGTAGTTATCCACAAAAAATATCCGCAAATTTCGTGAAACCTCAGAATATCCAATTTTTATTGGTGGGTTGGGTGAGTGTTATCCTTATTTAGAAATCGATTTGGCGATTGCGGATATTTTTTGTGGATAACATGATAATTCCTTTTAGTGAGGTAATATTTAATGAATTTTATTTAGTAGTTTTTAGATATGTGCCTGACTTGATAGTAAAAAGGAAAACAGCTAGAAGGACACCCACCAAGAAACATGATCACAATATCTAAAGATATTATTTAGTATTTCTTATTGTAAGGAATTGTTTGATGATAGTGAAAGATAGTTTTGAGAGTAAAGCATAAATATGCATTCATGGAAACTGTTGTTATGATTTAGTATAAATAAATTGTATTAAAATTGTTGGCAGATTATTATAAATAAAATATTGAGATTTACTGTGAGGTGTTGGGGTGTTACACATCAGTATAAACACAAACATAGTTGACTGGGGTGTTACATATCAGCATAAACACAATCATAGTTGAGCACACATAAACAAATAATAAAATAATAAATAATAATAATAATAATAACAATAATATCATTCATTGTAAATTTTCTTATAAATATTCTCCTAAAATTGCTTTTGCTGCTTCTTCTCCAAAATTCTCTTCATCACTAATTTCATTGCCTGTAATTAATTTCATCACGCGTAACTAATTTCATAATTATGTATTATGTGTTACGTTTTTGTGATACTTCTTTAAAATTAAAAAAGCTTCAGATATACAAAAACACTAATTTTTATATTCATGATCATAATAACCTGAGCTACCAAATAATGTAAATTTCATACAAAGTCATTATGTAAAATTTTGCGGAATTTTTGAAAAAATGCGTTTGAATACTTTTTAGATTAGAAATGTGATGATCTTTCTAAAATGGATTTCATATACACTCACTGGTCATAAATATAAGGACACTTGCAGATCATTGGAAATAATTGAACATAGAAACATGAAAAAAAATAAAAATTTTATTAACCTAACCGTATTTGCTTATTAAGTAAAAATTTATTGCCATATCAAATAGTATAGTATACTGAAGTTTCGCTACATATAAACAACAACTCGTTGTTTTACAAACTTTAAAAAATAAAAATGAATTTTTTGGAATTTTCAAAAAAATCTTTAACTCGAAAATTGACCACAATGTCAAGTTCTA